TATTAAATGAACCCAAAAATGTGTCCAAATATAAGACTGGTGATCAGAACTTTAACTTAAACTCCAATGGTCCATAGAATGTGTCTTTCTTTTTAATAATTTAACACTTAATATGCAACTTGCTCTCACAATCTTCACTGAATGTGTTTGATAATTATGTGCAGCCCAATGGTAGCTTAGGTGTCTGGGTGATCTACCTCTTGTTTACCATTGTGGTTGTGGGCTGTGACCGTATGACATAGAGCCATGCTATTGTTGTTGAAAATTTTTGAATGTAATAAAATGACTTCTAAAATCATTTGCGTGTATTTTAAATTATGTTTAAATCTTTTATATGGTTTTCTTCTGGATCTTTGGAAAACAAAACATGACAGTAGCACAGTATAAGGTATAGGATAGGAGGATAAAGATTATTTAACAAGATTCTTGTGTTTCCCGATACCAAATATGATTAAAATGCGACGCTAAAATGTATACATTTTGGGGAAATGTGCTTAAAATGATGCACAAGACTGGAATCCATTTGATTAAATAGTGCAGTCAGAAAAATCCATCTTGGGTTTGAATATTTCCCTCTGCATAAACATTGTATAGCTTAAATAAAGACTTGGAACAAGCCGATACAGAATGATATAAAATATAGTGGAATAAGGGGATTTTAACAACTTTGAAGCAGCTTAAAGGAAAATAGTCAATTTAGTCAAGATTATTTCCTCTGATTTTTAAAAGATCAACTTTTCCATTAAATACATTTACTGAACCATTAATATCTTTTCCTGAAATTTCTTGAACATGACAATGTGAGTATCAACATTATACATATTTGTAATTATAGTATTTTTGTTTCCCATGTATATCACAGCACAGAGTTTGGAATGGCATCTACCATACGTATTTTATGGATGCATTGACAGTCACCTGAAAAGTTGTAGTTGAGTGCAACTCCAGAAAACATGAGTATGGTTTGCCCCAGGTTGCCCCAGAGCCTCAAAATGGGTTAAAGGCCATCAAAAATAAATGGTCAAAATCGAAGTGGCAGACGCAGAGAATAGCCTCAATTTTGGTCTCTAGCATAACTCAAGCTTAAAAAATTGCTGATGATCCTACATTTCCCATAATGCAACTTGACTGTGTCTTTTGTCAGAACTCCCTGCTGCCCAGTTCTATAAAACTCAACGCCTCCACTTTGTAAGGCAGGCCAGGAGCGTTTCTAGGCTCTTGAAACATTGGGGGCTTAGCCCAGCACAGAAATCTTTCATGTTTTAACCCCCCACCCACCCATTGCCACCTACCCAAAGTATGTCTATAAAGCAACAGTAAATTATATATGTAGACTACATTTATTATGAATTTTAAAATTACTACTAATAATAATTAACACTGATAATGTTAAATTGGAGGAGTCTGGGGGTCCTCCCCCTGAAAAATTTGGGCTTTAAACACTTAATTTTCTGCATTCTGGTGAATTTATTTGCACCAATTTATTGAGGAAATGTCTCAGGTGACAATTAAAAGTAAGAAGAATATAGTGTAATATAATGCAGTAAGGCTGTCAGGCATTCTTTATTGCTGTCAGATATGTTTCTCCTGTAGATCAACTTTTCTCATTAAATTTAATCCCGGCTGAGTCTACATACATGCAGGCATGCCTGAAGTAGCCTAAAGTCTTTTTAAATGTGCATATGGCACCTTTTCACCTCAATGATAATTTAGCTTAACTAATGTGAATTCAATTAAGAATTATTAATTGACAAAATATTCAGTGGGGGAGGTGAGGGTCCTCCCCCAGATGATTTTGAGCATTAAACACTTAATTTCCTGAATATTGGAGACATTTTCTGCATCAATTTATGGTGGGAATGTCTTTATTTTTATAAAGGGAGGGACAAAATTTGGCATCTATGCAGATGACACAGTTATATATACATGTGCTCCCACCCAGGCTCAGGCTTTCACAGAGCTTCAGGTTGCGTTCTCTGCATTGCAGTTCTCATTGCACAACCTCAAAATACCCCAAAAAACAAGTTCATGACATTTACTACATTTACTCTCAGGAGAACCTTAGCCTTTGCACACTAAGGCCCCATCCACACTACTCCGTTTTAGTTTAAAAACGGAGAATTAAAACAAATACGATTTCCGTCAGCACTAGCGTTTTAGCTGCACATTTTAGCTAATGATCCCAACTTGTGAGAACACGTCTCGACGAATGTGGAGAAGTTTGTTGTTTCCTAGCAAAAGTTATAGTTGGATAGAAAATATAAACTGGGATCCAGAGAATGTCTAGTACACCAGAGCTTATACTGTTCATTAAGCCTTACAAAGAAGTGTTGCATCAAAGACTACTGTAACGAGCATTTTTTTGTATAATGTAATTTAATAAAACTATAACTAAGTTACTGAAAAGATCCTGTTACTGAAACAAATAACTGTAAATTACTAAAACATTACATTATATACTAAACAAGACATTTTGAAAGCTTGAACATTGCCTTTGTCTCTTTTGTCCCAGATTGAATGTGCCCCTCAACAAAACAAACTGGTCCCAGCCTGGCCCCATCAATAAAATTGGTCTAGAACCGCCACTGTTTTCGAAGTGTTGTTTCCCCTGTGAAACGAGCAAGAAACTTGTCCAGTCTACCTTTTTGTTGGTACTTGACTACGGGGACCTACTGTATATTGTTAAAGAAACTTGGTTCTGCATACCACGTTGCGTTTTATTACACTTGCTAAATCGCGCACACCTCACTGCAGATTATATGATATGGTGGATTGGCCATCTTTAGCTATGCGGAGACAACTACATTTGTGTATTTTTATTCATAAAGCACTTGTTTGCAAATTACCACATTACATTTAGCCTGCTCAGCTTTACGGTCAGTAGTCATCATACCCGATCCAGAAGGCTGCTGCTTTTAAAAGTTCTCAGGGTGACCTTGGTGTTGGGAAAGACTGCCTTCTCATGCTATGCACCATTAACTTGGAACTCCTTGCAAAGGACCCTATGGCTTGAGGTACTGGTACCTCTTGGGAAGTTCAAATCCTTCATTACAGAGGTTTTTAAAGATGAATGTAACTGTTTTTGAATAAGCTGGCATTATATTGATGTATTTTAACTGCTCAATGAAGTGCTAATATACTGGTGAGATATTGGGTTGCGACTGTTGCATTTGTATATAGGTAAAAGGTTACATGTTTTGATTGTATTTTGTATTGTTTTATGTTTGTATTGTCTGACTTTCTGTCCTGCTCCCTTTCTTGGCCAGAATGTCCTTGAAAAAGAGATTTTATCTCAATGGATCTTTTCCCCTGGTGAAATAAAGGTTAAATAAAAAACTTTAAAAAATCACCTCTGATTTCCATTTATTTTGCTTATTTCTGTGTTTATGTGGGTGTGCTTCCTGTGTAACTGCTGAGTATTTTAAAGTGTGCTGCAAGTGCATGAATAAAAACCTCAGGCAGTGTTTTTGAAATGCATGTGCATGTTTAGCCTGTGATTAATAATCCTCTCACACATCATCTCTGCATCCATTCAGATTTTTTTTTATTCTGCTTGCTCCTTGCTTCTTTCCCAGTCACCTCCTTTCCTGATATTTATCTCACCTTAGCGCCTCTGTAGCCATGCTATGACTATGCACATTATCATGAGCAGAGATGGTGATGTGATGGATGCTATAGGATCTTCTCTGGCTACACTGTAAGGGCACAGGGCATTGTCGGTCCAGGGAGAGTACTATTTCAGCTCCTGCGAGGTAATATTAGAGCATGCTTTCCATCAACCTACAACCCCTGTGTGATATAACACAAGGCTATTTTCAGACAGCTGCCGTCAGGATAGGATAAGGAAGAGAAGGTAAGTCGTAGTGGCTGGCATGCTGATTCTTGCACCTCATAATTGCTCTTTTGAGGAAAGCAGAAAGATATTGTCCTAGATTCTAGAAGTAATTCATTTGTGACAAACAAACAAAGATGAACTGTTTATGACTACAGCAACACATGTTACATGTTGTATAGTTTCCTAGATCGATTTCATTGTTTAATTTGTTCTTTTAGCTGATATTCCAACAAATGCTTTGAAGAAAAGAGAAAATATCTCTTGATAGTTCCCTCTGACATATTTCTTTTGAATCCTCAGGCAATGCAGTACTTAACATGAAACTACTTTCAAACTTTGACATGATTAAACGTATCACTGCACCATTATATTTTGAAATATCTTTTATTCCATCTTAACATTAAGAACATTTCCTTGGAAAGTCCTTTATTTGTCTATAAATGTATGATTACGCTGCGTACATTCTCATGAGCAGAGATATCAACATTTATAATCAAGCGATTCGTGCAACATCATATCAGTTTTCATAGATGTAACCAACAGTAAATTACTCATCCCTCTTGGCAGTCTACTCTAATTACTCTCAGGCTCCCATAAAACATCTAGCTAAAACCAAAAGCTCATCTGTCTGTGGGCTTATTTGGGGGGGAGTGGAGTGCCGGAGGATTACAGTTTGCCTTTAGTAGATCACATCCACTACTGCAGCAATGCATATCCTATCAGCAGCTAAGCCCGTGAGTGTGAAGTGAGTCATTTCCAGGGACCAAAACCCAATACTGTGATGTGAGAGGAGAGGGAGTGTGACCCTATGCACTGACACATTCGTCACGCAGTAAGCCAGATCCAGCGGTAGACTGTCAAATGTCTTGACTTGAGGGGACGAGTCTGTGACCGAGGGTGAAGTCCTGTGAGAGCTTGACACCTCACATGACTGATGAGCTTCTGACCCAGCAGTCCGGATATTAACATTATTTAGCCACAGGCGTTATACTCCATTGTTATAGGCAGACAAAGAAAGAAAGAAAGAAAGACAGAGAGTTTCTGACAAAAGGCAATTGCAGTCTATTATTCTAACCTGCAGTACATGTCAAGTAATCCAATATATTATGTTGAGAGAATGTATTACGAGCAGAAGCACTAGAAACAGCACAAAGAATTCACCTAGACTCTGTTTAATAATTTATTAAATACAGCATATTACACTCATGTTGATAATGTGCATATACTGGTACTTATACTATAGAGACAATTTTTTATAATTTAAAATCTTATTGCTGCACATGTTAAACACATTGTTTTTTCTTTCTTTTTTTATGTAGTGTACAAAATGAAATGCAGCGTCCTATGAGAAAACAAACATTTTGTGCTACAGATTACAAAGTGTTAAGGTTCAGGACCTGATGATGCCGATGAGACACATGCTACTCAATGGACACTTGGCAGAACAAACAAGACACTGAAATTCCACAGGAACAGGAAGTCAAAATCCGCCATGCAGTGCATTACTGAAAATCTGGCCTCCAGTCAGATCTGCTCGTTTCATTGATGCCAACTCATACACGGTAGCCAGCCCCTTGATCATTGTTGGCGAAACGACATCTAAAACGACTGACAACCAGGTTCCATTAATGATACTATGCATGTTGTAAAGCAACATTCACCACTTCAAAGAGCCAATATGTACACACTCTGTCTTCCTGTGTGCATTACTTCATCCACATCACCGTATCTAGCACCCTCAGTCTTTTTTTTTACAATAATAACCACGAACATTCCCACAAAGAAAACCTCATGGAATTCATATACTGCTCTGTTCAGCCTTTGGGATATCCTTTCATATATCGAATGAAGTGCCTTGCATTAAGGAGTTAGAGGCATGATAGTATCAACTAAAATAGTGCAATTTCACATTCCTTGTCATTAATGAATTATTCTTCATATACATTTGTAGAGCTATTTGGTGTGTGTAAAAGTAGAATGTGTGATAGTAAAGGTACATGCAGGAGGTTAAAAGAAGGATCAGAATTACTCATTTACTTTCTTTGCCAAGAGTTACATGAAAAGATTGCTACTACTCTTATGTCTATACGTCACATATGCAGCAGCTGGTTAGCGTAGCTTACGTACCTTTGGACTGAACTAAGCTAGCTGTTTCCCCCCATACTTCCAGTCTTCATGCTAAGCTAAGCTAATCAACGGCTGACTGTAGCTTCATATTTAATGAACTCACATGAGAGTTGAATAACCTTCTCACCTAACTCTCTGCAAGAAAGTAAATAAGTGTATCGTCCTATATCAAACTATTACTTTAAAGAAAAAAAAACAACCATATGCCAGTGGTAAATAACATATACCTTTAACTGAGGAAAATAAGAACTAAAGGAGAATGACTGACAAAACAAAACTGCACAAAAAGGAAAGAAGTATGAGAAAATAAAGACAATCCCTGAGGGCTAAAATCCTACTGATATGAGTAATAAAGGACGCATCATTAACAAAGATGGTTGGATTTTCATGTACAGTACTTGTGTTAACTTCAAAAGAAAATAATTGCACAAGTTAATCGCATAATATCTTAGCTAGCTAATGCAACTAAACAAGATGGGCAAAGATTCAGCTTTTCAACAGTGACATGAACAGCTATGCTTGTTTTTAGTCAATGTGCATACTATTGAGAGTATGGTTACATACAATGACTTGGTAACTGTGTGGAATAAATAAGTGAATGTTGAAAGCAACACTGCATTCAATTAGATGTGCCTTTCAAATGAGAAAGAATGTTTTTTTTGCTTGTGGCAGGGGGAAGAATGGGACGGAAGGATGGAGGGCAAAGATAAAGGAAGGTCAATGGACGGAAGGAAATAGCCGGAAAAAGATTAGGTAAAGAGGGATGGAATAAAGGATGGATGGAATGCAGTAAGGAGGGATGAAGGGCAAGGAAAAAAGGTCAAAGGAAGTAACAAAGGAATGAAGGTAGCAAAAAACAAGGAAGAATGGAATCAGAAATGGATGGAATGCAGCAAGGAAAGATGGATGGCAAAAAAATGAAAGAAAAGGAAGGAATCAAGAAAGGAACATAAGAGAGGAAGGAAGGAAGTGAATCTAGAGGAACACTTTAAGTTCTCTTATCAGGAGAGGTCTTTGAGTCGGCTGCCTTGTTCGATGACCGCCTGAGCAAACTGCTTGAAGACTCGATCCATATAAGTGCTCTGTCGAGGCCACAGGCCCTCGAGGAAACCAATATGGCCGCCATGACAGGTGATGAGCATGGCCAGGTTTGGATTCTGCTTCACTGCCTCCACTGGAATGGCTGCAAAGTAAACAAAGGATTCAGGTTCTGGTGTCTTCTCTGTGGACTAGATTCTCATTTTTCATGATGCCATGTTAGTAGTGCCAGTAAACCTGCCTTATAAAATCAGTTTTCCCCTTTCATAATAATTCTTTAAAAATCTGAATGGTGAAGTCAGATTGCACAGAAAATCTGGTCGCTGGGACTCACCATGAGACGGGGAGAAGACGTCATCAGCAGCGTTCAGACACAGCATTGGCACCTGCACAGATTTCAGCCTGTGGACAGGACTGGCATCATGGTAGTAGTCATCATTGGTAGGATAGCCAAACATTATGGAGGTGAACCTCTCGTCAAACTCACGAATGGTCCTTGCCTATAGGGACAGGGTAAATTGATTAAATTTTGACACTTGGTTTAATTAGATTAGCATTAATGGCATTGCAAGTGTCACTGAAAATAATCCCGACCTTCATGACATGATCGATGTCATAACACTTTTCAAGCACTGGTCTGTGTCTGCAGAGATGAGATTAAAAATAAAACTGTCACCGACTACTGTTGTAATGCTGACAAGGTTGTGACAACATAATATAACAACAATAAAGCTTTAGTTTCACAGTAGCACAACAAACTCATCACTCTGCATTCATTTCAATTCTGCAATAAAACACAGATTTGAATATATTTGGAGTATTATATTTACTAATGTGCTTTGCTCATCAGATAACAGTTAAAAAATACAGCAGCCTTGATCAAAATATAGAAAATAAATACATAAGAGCTCAGTTCAGCCGCTAGCACTAGCAGTGAGTTAGCGTCCGCGTTAATCCCGATCTGGCCCACCTGTGCACAGAGGCTTGTAGGCAGCTGGTGAGGTAGGAGTTAAAGAGGAAACGGTCCAGGGGTTTTTCCAGTGAAGCGGTGCACTCAAACACATCCCAGCCTGCTGAGAAGGCTACGACACCTTTCAGACAGGTTTCCCGGCCCTTGCGGCCCAAGTAGTTGGCCAGCATCATCCTCAATATGGAGAGGGCGAGAGGAAGGGACAGATGGGGAAAAACAGGGATTGGAACATGTTCCATTTTTGACCAGTCGTTCACTTCATGGGATTAGTGCTGCGCAGTTTCTTTGGCATGCTGTACTGAACAACTGGGACCATATTAAAGCACCGACTATAGCTTGACCAATACTGGATTTTTGAGGCCAATACCGATTTTTGGAATTTTAAAAAATGTGACAACAATGTATTGGCCAATAGTAATTTTATTTTTCATAAACACCAATCTTGATCCGGATCCCTTAGATTATTTTTTTAAGAATAGTGACCAAGCTATACACAGAGTGAGTATTGAGTTTTTTTTCAATAAGAAATAAGGTATTTCCACTTCTATAATCCCATTAGAATTGTGAGGGTTGAATATTTAAAACAAAACACACAAACTGTCTACTACAGAGAAAGTTTGACTTACTAGCATGACATCTTTTGCCTCTCTTGTCCTTCTCGTAACATTTGGCACAAACCAATCACAGACCAGCTGAATTAGTAAATGTGAGTGAGTTCTGTGTAGTTTGCTCATGTTGGATTATGTTATGTCAGGTGATTTCTGGGTATTATTAGTTAATATTTGAAGCTGCGTCTAGCAGCTCTGTAGCTCGCTCTGTCGGTTGGCTGCTCCGTCTACAAAAATGTCCTTTGGCGCCCACAGTTTTTGCCCAAGGAGGCTGAAATTTGGAATGGAGGTCAAGTGTGTCTGTGTGTGAAGGTGTGTGTTTGTGTTAAAAGGGGGCATAGCAATGGGAGTGGCCTATAAAAAAAAAGTGCACAACTTCTACATACCGTAACTTCTAAATGGATTCACGTAACATGACCAAACTTTGTAGAAAGACACTCCCCCCCCCCTGTCCAGTCAGCTGGTAGTGAGTGGCTTTATTACCCGCCCATTGATACTCCAGCAGCCATGATTGGAGCAGCTTCATTAGTCCCCTGGATGTGCTCAATAACCATCTCCAGATCCTCTGTGTTGGCTGCACAGTAGGTCCTTGGGGTCTGGGTGGGACAGACAAAGACAATTCAGTCACTTTTTTTTTATCAGTGTTTCTTTATCTCTGTTAAAATCATGAGGCCTCAACTTGAAAGAAATATGGTGAAGTGAGTTATTTTGATTTGAAACTAAAATGCTTGCCTGAACAAAAGTAAAATATACCAAGTATTTACCTAATTTCTATGAGAACTACCTTTATAAGTAGATAATTGTTCCTCAGCATCTGACCACTTCCTTTTATGTGCCTGAATGAGAAAATAAACTAGCTTAAACTAGCAAACATCATTTAAAAAGTAAGTAATAATACACTACACTACACTACACTTTAGGAAAATTTAGACTACTAGTAGTATTAGTGGTATTTCCAAAACCAATCATTATGATATTTACGGCAAATCAAACTATAGCTGAAACTAATTGATTAATCAATTAGTTAATATACAGAAACTAAATCTGCAACTATTTTGATAACCATTTAATCTTTTTAGTCATTTTTTTTCTGGGAAAGTAAACTGAATATCTCTGGGTTTGGATTTAAAGATGTCAATTCCGGCTTTAAAAAAACAGCCAGGGACTAAACTCGTTCATGTTTCCTTGATTTGCCTTCACACAAAGGCTGTCATCCATGTCCAATGACAGGAACTTACAAAACGGATTACAATGTTACTACCACTGAACACTGCCTTGTGCACATTGCCACCCCTGCAACTGGATATGGCGTAAGGGATTGTGGGCGAGTCCCATCTGGAGTGTGTACGAGGGGCGCAGCAGAAGTGTGCAGGGCCCATAACCTAGAGGTCAATGGATTGAAACCATGCTCTGATAAATCGGCAACAAAGAAACTGAAACTTTTGAGTGTTGGTTGTACAAAACAAGACATTTGTCTTCTTGGGCTTTGGAAAACTGTAACGGCCATTTTTCAAAACTGTCTAATGTTTTTAGACAATACAATCATTCGATAATATAATACAACAACAAAGTTGACAACAATATGTTTGAAGACACGTATCGACAGTTAACATGATTCACTATTTCACCTTTAACATGCAAACAGTAGGCTATTATGTAATTGCTAATTTCTGTTATGGTTTTTTTTGTTATGGTGTAACAGCGTGAACAGACGATTTATATTTGAACTAAGCTACTGTATATAAAGGAAATAGTTTATTTACAGGCCAAGAAAGGGTGAAATGTTTCTATTCTCTCCTTTCAACTCGGTTTGTCAGCCAGAGCAGGTTCCTTAACAAACCAGCTCTAACTCGACAGAGCCTATTTAACAAGTCCAATTTCTCAGGATGCTGTCGACTCTTCAAGGCTCTTCATTAAGATTCAAGCAGAAACTCAGGCAAAGTAAATTCCTGTTTTTCTACTCTCTCGTGGTTACTCTGATAGGCCTGCACACGTTTTGTACTTTGCAGTGAATCAGCAAGACTTGCAAATTGAATAATAATAGATTTTTTTTAAAAAAGAACAAAATACAAGTAGTTGGGGGAAATACCCCACAGAAAAGTGTAATGTAATTGTTTTTTTATGAGGTCAGGAAATAGGGCACTAGCACTCACGACAGTCCTTCAGGCAGGGGGCAACTCTTACACAATGGGTCATTCTCAAGCTCTGGCCTAGTTAAAAAATTGACAATATGGACATTAACTGGAGCATTGAGCATGCAAATAATTTGCATTTTGTGACTAGACACTTTGCCTTAGTGCCACTTTTACCCTTTTTTGTTTTTAAATTTGCAGCTGAGACACAATACGACAAAGACAACAGCTGGACACGGATTGGCAACTGATTCAGTTTCACAGCCACTAAGAGGAACATTAGATTGATTGTGGACAATCCCTGCCTGTAATGAAAGACCATTTGTCTTTTGGATGGGATCTCTGTATGGTAGTGATGGTATGATTCGATCAGGGTGATTCAGTGGTCCATAAAGAATGTGCCTCTGTTCCAAAGCGGAGACGTACAGACAGAGAGGGAGAGACGTAAAACACAGTGGGCATGCTATGTACTATGAGAGCTCGGGCCCATTTTGTTGGCTAAATATACCCGGGTGTAAGGGGACAGATTAAGCCAGGTGTCAGAACAGCACGTGCCCGGAGAGGTCATATTTCTGAGGATCAGCATTAAAATACTGTATCTGCCTGCAACTTAATCCCTGCTGTGGAACAACATTGTCTGTGCAGCGTCCACTTAGTTCCCTGTGGACTCTGTGACACGTGTGGAACAGACGTGCACAGTGCTGGCTGATGCAATGAAAAGAACAACTCCACTGGGAAGCTGTCACACTGACAAATGGGAAAAATAACTTTTTGTTAACAGCTATCCTGTATACACATTTGTCTTTCTGAACGTGGACAGGAAAAATGGTGAAATGAAATAACATAATAAGTAATGACAGGTTGAAAACTATCACACGTTAGATTCTCACCAGCAGTGTTTCCCCGGAAACCCCTCTGTTGTTGAATACCACGCATCTGAAATATACAAAACACATACTCTAAATGATTAGTCTCCTAAATTATTCCTTTAATCAGTCCTTCTATTGATTGTAACTGAAACATGTTCAGGAATAGCAACTACTGTGCAAATTGATGAATAAATTAGTTTGAAAGCAAAACAGACAAAAATTCACTAGTGCCATCTTATCAGTAGTAAATTATTTCAGATTTTTGTAGTCTTGTAGTGATTAAAAACTGAATGTCTTTGTATTTTTGAAAAAAGAAATTTAAAGATAGTAATTTTTTGCTTTTTGCTGACATTTCATAGACCAAAGAATTTATAGAGAAAATAATTATAAGTAACCCTAATCCATTGATTGTAACTGTTAAGAATATTTCTTAAGGGGCTTTGTTGATATAACAAGGAAAGATAAGACAGGTCTAGCTTAGAGTAATTTAGCTGACCCCATAAGTGTTTTCTGTCCTGTTCTGGTATTTCTCACATTTACTTGTCCTTGTCGGGGAGACAACAATAGACTGATTAGGTAGAGACAGTAGATCATGCGTCAGGCTAGCAGATATCAGTGTCCTACAAGAATGTTTACAAGAACTCAGTAGCTCCACAGGTTAAAGTACAATTCATGGACTTTAAGAGATTCCAATATGATGTAGCATTGAAGTCTAAACATCATATAGAGTTGCTGTTTTAGGTTAAGGCCAGCTAAAGATGACCAAAGGGGAAAACCTACAGCCACTAGGGGGAAAACAGAAACATAAAAGGGACCAAAAGATGTTATCCTTCAGATTTGGTGTTGGCATTGCTTGTGTTCACACGTTGGATGCTGACACTGTTTCTCCTTGGCCAAGTCTCATTAAACTTTGCTGTGTAAAACTTCATCAGTCTCCGAAAAACCTTCTTCCTCGCACCTGACAGCTGGCTCACAATAATTCTTCAACAGTAACTGGACAAATTCTGAGTAGAACTCAACGATTAGTTGATTAATCGACTAATCAATCAACAGAAAATGAACTCTATAACAATTTTACTGATAACTGATTAATTTCTTTACTTACTTTTCAAGTAATAATGCTGGTACATTTGATGGTTCCAGCTTATTAAATGTGAGTTTCCGCTCTACTTTGTTTTACATTATTGTATCTTTGTGGTTTTCAAATGATGGTCGGACAAAACAAGCTATTTCAATATGTCACCTTGGGGCTCTCAGAAATTGTGATGGGCACATTTCACAATTTTCTGTCATTTTACAGACAAAAAGGCTACTTGGCTGATCAAAAAAACATCTGGCAGGTTAATCAACGATGAAAATATTTGTTAATTGCAGCCCTAAATTCAAGGATTTGCTCAAAAACGTGCACAAGGAGGAGCAACATTTATAAGCTCTAGTAGGCTCAAGTTTTGTTCTATTTGGTGTCAATACAAGTTAGCGACTTCCACGTTCAAAGGAACACGGTAGCCCAAATTCCTTTAAACCAACGTTCCATACTTACAAAAAAATGTAACTGGGAATCTGATGAGGTGTGCTGAGATGCACAGCTGCGTGAAGAGCATTCTGTTTGTACTGTTAGAGGGAAGGCATCAGCATCCCTCCTCTCTCCACATCTCTCGCCAGTCATCTATTATCTGGTGAAGTCAGACCTGCTGTTTCTATCTGTGTAGCTCAGCAGCAGGGTGGGGCTAGATGGAGTGTTGAGCTAGAGGACAGAGAGGTGTATGTGTGTGTGTATGGGGGGGTGTGCTTAAACACACACACACTGCATCATAGACTCGGAAGCTGGTCTGGGCTAAGCTGCAAAGCTTGTACCAGGATAAGCTGTAATTCATTAAGCTACGCAGACAGGGTGAGGGGTGGAAGATGCTGAGTGTGCCGGCCCTCCTCACATGCCTTCCCAAATCTGGGTGAAAGAATGAGTGCAGAGAACACAGAGAAAGGGCCTATTGGAGAGGGAGAAAGGGGGAAAAACTGCCTCCCTCTGCAACTCTTCGAGCTTGTGCTACGTTTGGCTATTTACAAAAGCAGCTCTTGACGCAAAGCTTCGCTGCCCACTTTATTTGTGCACTTGACCTGAAATAACTCCAAGCCCCTGTCACTCTTGCACCCATTATATAAAAGTTACAAAATCGCTACAAAAAGCTGTGTTGGGTTTTACTTTTTAATCAAAACTGTTATGACTGCTGAGGTATTCTGACTTTGACTGGACTGGAATTAGCACAAGTCACAGAGAGTGTTAGTTGTGTGATTTAGTGCCCTGAATGCGTGCTCAGCGCTGGTCCTCAGCCAAGGTGTCCGGCCAAGACCACCCACCTATAACCCAGATCCCGGCTCTGTTGGACCATGTGCAGGATGTAGGACTCTCGGCTGGTGCCGGTCAGACCGGGCAGAAGCAGGACAGTGGGCCTGGTGGCAGGGTCAGGATGAGAGAGGCTGTCGTCGTTGTCAAACCAATCCAAAGAGATCTGTCCTCCATCTGCTGCCCTAATAAGCTCACTGCAGAGACAAGCGGGACACGCAATTCAGCAACGAGGAACATTATCATAAAATCTGTATCTCTATGTATCTGTGTACTTGTTTCATTCAAACAAATGCAAACAAGAAAAGTACTAAAATTAATATTAGATTTGGGGTGAACTAGATGCATATCTGCTCACTAAATGGTAATTTAAATTTGTTAAAATACTCACACACAATTAATACTTTCTGTTCTCTTCCAGGTAAAATGAAGTAATCACAAGCACTACCAAAGGAGAATTGGATATGTGACAAGAATGCTCACTGATCATCTTGTAAGCGCGTTCAGTAGGCTAAGACAAGGAGGAGGGCATTGCACCAGTGGGTTCTTATGATAAATCAATTTCTGGGCTATAACACTAGCCTGGCAAATGAGGTAATTCAGTCACAGTGCTAGTGCATTTTAAAACCTGCATTGCACACACGCACACACACACACACACACACACAGCGGCGGCCAGTGAGCAAACTTAGCTGGCCAGTGGTGAAGACATCAGCATGAAATTACAGACCCGTCATGAAATATGCACCTGACTCGCTAGACTATAAAGTCAGTGAGGACCAATCCAGAGTGACAAAGTGGGAGGGGACCTGGTGCTAATCCTCTGCTTGGACAACGAGATGAATTTCACCCAGACAGCCAACAACAAATAGTACAGTTTTCACAGTGCCTGTCCTTGGGTCAACCTTGGGTAATTTCATTATAGGCAGATGTCCAGTTGTGCCAGGAGGAAATGTGATAATACCTTCAGTGAACGTGACCTTCAGTTTTACCACGTTTGATAACACACAGCTGGACTAGGATGAAGTCCCTCAGCATTATGAGAATATTTGTCTCCTTGACTAAGGACATGGCCAAAAGCAGAGGCAGTTATCAGTGTCCTTCGGACAGACAACTTATGACAATAATAATTCAACTTAAGAATAAAAATGTCCACAAAAACAAACTGTATCAACAATCAAATGTGTCAGCTTTTGAGCAAGTGTCTAAACAGGTTAAACAAAGGTCTTAAATTATTTTTATGTTATGGTTGGGGTTAAGGTTTAGTCTTAAGTGTCCTGACAAACAACACATAATACATGGACAATGTATGCTGTATACAAACAGGAACACTGACCCAAAAGGCATGGCCATGGAAATTAGGGAATGTCGTAATACATGAAGCAAATTACGTGAGAATGTAATATGAACTAATAAGTAATAAATAGTAATAATGAAAAATAACTCTCTCTTAATTAATTTTAATAAATCTCCTTTATGTACGCAGGGGGCAAGGAATGGTGTGACAATTAATCCTCAACAGAATGTACATTATCAAGGAGTAGGCAGGGCAGCCCAAGCCAGCCTTGCGGCACAAAAGATCTCTTTCTCCTCTGAGCTTTTGAGTCTTTGCTAAGAACAAGCCTGGAATTTGTTTCCAGTTAAACTGGTGAGAAAGAAACCAAGATATAGCCAACGAAAGCTTCTTTGTGGCCACACTAGTTTGTTGAAGTTGCATAATAAAGCTTTTTTACTGTCAGCGTGGAAATTTCTGCAGTGGCATTTCATTTCTCTAGAACGCCAAAAACAAGAAAGCTGTCATATCAAATTTACGTTTACTGTGACGATGTCAAAGGTGAACTCTCCAGCTTGCACGCTCCACGCGTATTTCTTATTGCATATGAACTATTTGACTTGAACTTTTTTATGAATTTAAATGCCCATTTGAATAAGTGAAGACAGACTGCTTGCAAGGAAAAATACATTCTCAGTTTTTTGGGGGGGAGGGAGGGACAACTTGTGTGAGGGATAATTAATTTGTCAGTCATGGCGAGGACTTACTTTCTGTAGACGACCCCAGGTTTGGCTGTGACAAAGGGTCTCAGCAGAGTCTGGATGCGGCTCTCCCAGCACCAAAAGGTGGGGTAGTAGGTCTCTGACACCACCGGACATTGCTCCCTCAGAAAGTGGTAGAACTTCTTACCCCCTGAGATGAGCTGTGGCTTCTGCAACCATACAGATGAATGAAGTGCGGAACAGGCTTGAGTCAAAAAAAGTGACTTCTTTATTTCCCTCAGGTTATGAATTAATGTGATGTTATTTAATATGACAGCAGATCCATCATGTAACTTTCTTTTAGCTCTAAGCCCTGTTTTGTTACATCACATTATATGTAATCTAAAATCATTTTCAAAATTGCATTACTTGTTGTATTATTGAATCAGATCTGCTGATGCAGACCTCAACACATAAAAAAGAAGATTTCACTTTACATTATTAAAAATTCAGCATCCAGCTGTAATAAAAAGCAAGGCTGTTATTGTGAGCAAGCTAAAGTCTACTGACAATCAAAGTGTAACGTTAAAGTCTATGATGTAGATTTAAGGTCTTTATTACACTTCAACATACAGAAGAATCATTAGGCATGCACTTCCACATGTTATGTTTGTAAATGTAACAATATTCATTTGATGCATAATTTGGTCTGTTAGCTGCCTCTTTCAAACCAGTTAATTTATTTGTCCAATTCAAACAGATTTTATATTGTTATTATTATATCTATTTTTATTTAAATGTTGAACTGCATGAAAACCTCACTCAACGTGCAATTTATAATTATGTAAAATCAACACTGTCAGCATGCGTTACATAAAATCTTCTACCGGCATTTCTTACATACAGTAATGTTAGCCTAGCTTAGTCAATGCCGACGTCTAACTGCAACTGTCTTGCTACGGATTGATTCATTTATATAAGTGCTGCACATGCATGTGGATAATATGTCTTTTTATGAAAATATGCTGATTCAAATGTTGGTACTGCTGCCTGAGATCCATCACACATGTGCAGGCGTGTGCCGTTAGGCCACCGGTGGACAGATGCAAAATAATCGAAACCTCCATGCACCGCTCGGTCCAGCATCATCGCTCGCAGGGATGATGCTCCTTCGTGAAAAGCACACACACGCCGGTTTAAATTGCACATACAAGCAACATAAGGCAAAAAAAGAAGTGCCTTCGAAAGCAGCCGGTATATCATACGTGAACGGTTCTTACCTTCGCTACTGAAAGCAGATAGTAGCAGGTGTACGCTGCGCTAAAGCCCAGTACCAGAGACAGCCCTACACCCGAACCGAACAGCCCAACTTTCACTTGATTTTCCAAATAATGTGACAGGTCCCTTGTCAAAATGTTGAAATTGAAGTCCAGCGAGATCATTGCAAGGTCCCTGTTTTCACCCACAGCGTGAGGACAGCGGCCAGCTCGGTTGAACGTCAGCTGTGTGTGCCTTCGAGCCCACCGTGAAGGAGACAGTCAAGGGGACTTGATGTGGGGAGATATTTATATATGTTTATTTATCAGCGAGTGGTGGCGCTCTTTGACCAGCTATCAGTGGAGCCGCTCGCAGTCAGTCCGCCGCCCCCTGCAGTCAACAGAGCTGATTTACACCGTGCTGCAGTTTCAGGCTTCAGTGTATCTAGGGGGATAAAACTCGGCCAAAGGGCAATTAAATTGGAATTTGCAAAGACAGCGTGAGTATCATCGAACACCTTCAACTTCTGACAAAATGGGTTTACTGTAGGGGTAGTCCACAAAAAACTGGATCACCAACCAGGAAAAGCAGGCAAATGCCACAGAGGCTACAGGCACACAGGGAGCCCAAAGACTCCAGGTTCACCTTGTGGCAATTAGTTTGTGGTAATTTAATTAACTGAAAATGTGTTTGTTAACACTGTGTGCGCCATTAAAACATATTGTAAATTGAAATGACACGGGAAATAAGGCAAGGCCTGAATTATTACCTAACCCTGTGGCTCCATCTTGTAGAAAAATGTCCAGAGATGAAATCTGTGATTGAGCCTTTTTTTGTTTCATTTAATATTGTGCTTACATGGTCCATTTTACCAGGTACATTTTTTGCTTAATACTTACATGGTGCACTGAGAGTGGGAAAAACAGGTGGTTGGGCCCACAAGACATTATTCCAATCCAGGTCCACTGGAGGTTTGTTTTAAAAAGTAGCCTACTTTATGTTATTATCAGATTACAGCATGTGCAGTATCTAGCAAGTCTAATATGACCTGAACAACATTTGGGGTTCAACATTTGGATTGTGAGGTAAAGGGGAAAGATTAATATAATTTCCTGGCCCTTCTTCTGGACTTTGAAGTCACTGGCTATAAAGTAAATGAGCATTTGATTTGATGTAATAATCTTCATTCAGTAATGCTCATCTATCATCTCTGTATATTTGTATGGAGTTCGGATGTGCCACTGGAAAAAAATTACAGGCTTCAACTTGACAAGTTGTTAATTATGATTTATAAATCATTTGAAAAACAAATAAAATGATCATTCAATGCACCAATTAATAACTATATTCAGTATAATGCATTACATTGTCTTTAAATGAGAAAAGAATATTCCATTCACTGATACCAGCTGGTGGCCTTTGACACATTCATGCTGTTGCTAATTCTTCTCTGTTGGTTGGATCTGATTTAATTATGAGTATTTGAATTAAATGTCAGCTGCCATCAGTTCAGTCACCTGTAATGATACCACTATACTTCCAATGTCCAGAATACACTGTAGACAGTATATCTAGTATGTATGCGTGGATGTATTCATATACATGAGTATATTAATTCTTATTTCTATGGTATTTCTTTATTGTTGCTTCTTCCCCAAGATATATCTCCCATTGATGCTGTATGTACTAATAGTTCTCACTAGTATCTGTTGTCACTTGTAGATCTCTTACTTTACTGATGCGTGTATGTTGTTCCTCAAATGTAAGTTGCTTTGGATAAAAGCCAAATGAATAAATATAAATGTAAATGTATTGATTGTTTAATCATTGTTGTTTTACTGTATGTTTCCATGCTTGAACAAAATGTAGCCTAGATTTTCTAAGGAAATAATCAACTATACTGTATGTTGTGACTGAAACATTGATTATTTCATGTAATAAAAGTGATATGTGTACAAATTATGACATTCGTAAGTGCGGGTTAGTTTAACTTATTGTTTTGATTGGACGATCCCTTGGTAAAACCACGTTATAGAATATCCAAATATCTTTCTGTAACATTAAAAGGCTTAAAATACTAACATTATGTTTTTCATCCCTGCACTGAGCTGGGCAATGGTCTTGAACAGCGAAGATGCGCACGCGCGCCGTGGGTCGGACTCCTGCTTGTTTCCAGTCTCGAGTCTTCGGGCTTTGTCGTTCACCTCCGTAGCTAGTTGTTGCTCGTCTGAGGTCTGAACGATGATTGACAATAATGGCGACGCGTTTATTCTGAGTTGACTCCAGGGAACCATCTCTGGCTGACAAAGGGATCGTCTTGGATGGATTTTCAGCACCACTGACAACAACAATAAGGATAAGCAACCACCAAAAGGACTAGCTTTCATTTTTCTCAACGTAAAAGACTTGCTAACCAGGAGAGGTTATCTTGTTAGCATTGCCATAGCTAGCAACTCGGCTCGCTAGCTTGCTAAGTTGAAGAGGTGGCAGTCTTGTTTCTGGAGTGGAGGAGAGGAACAGCCAGCTTTCTGAGTGCTGAGATTTGGCCAAGCTAGCTATGTGGCTACTTAATATGCTTTTATGGTAATTTGCTTCTCATTCTCAGAGGAAACACTGTGGAGGCACTGCAGTTGACGTTAGCTTGTAGGAATAGTTTGTCTAAGAGGGTCCAACAGCCTCCTTCTGTAGCTAACTTAGCTACTTCGCTAGCAGGCAAGCTTTGTGGATTGTTCCAGTCTTTTTCCTGTAAGGACTTGCTTGCACTTGCATTTGGAATCTGTCCACCGATAGCTCGCTAGCAGTGCCCGTTAGCTTGCTAACTTGTAAGAATTTCTGTGGCATTGCGAGATCGTTTCGTAAATGACCACCGGCAGGAATAACCGAGCGATGATGGAAGGAGTTGGAGCCAGAGTGGTACGCGGACCTGACTGGAAGTGGGGGAAGCAGGATGGTGGAGAGGGACATGTTGGCACCGTCAGGAGTTTTGAAAGTCCAGAGGAGGTGGTGGTTGTCTGGGATAATGGGACGGCTGCTAACTACCGTTGTTCTGGAGCCTACGACGTGAGGATATTAGACAGTGCTCCAACAGGTAACTGAACATCAGTTTTTTTATTTGCCAGCACTTTCAGGTTCATTCAAGACTAGAGTTATACACACCACGCAAGATATTGGGCTCTTTGTTGGCCTTAATTTTGTGGCTTTGGTGGGTGCAGGAATGAGATTGATTAGACAACCAGACATATAGAATTAATGAAGTTGTTGTAACGTAATTAAAATACTAGGATAGTAACGCAACGTTTCTCAAAATAGTTAGGTTGTTGAAGAAACTTTAAAGTGTATAAAAATCTCGGAAATTAGTTAAAGCTAATTCTTTATGTGTTGAACGCAGACAACGTCTGCTTGATTACTCCGATGTGTACAACAACAGTAGTTGAATTTAAATACATCCAGTCTGAACATATATATGTCACAGACAGTTCTGTGTACAAGATATACAAAAACGCCATGGGAGATGTGCAAGATGTTCAGAGTCACTAATATGTTAACATAGCACACTGAGAGGAAAAACATTTTTCTTGCTTATTATATAAAAGTATGTCAATAGGATGTACACTGTTTGTGTAAGCATAGACTCAAGAAGGACCACTTCACCATTGTTTAGCTTTCATTCTCTGTACTTGTCATAACATTACATGCCAGTATAGATACAGCTTCAGCACAAAACCCATTATTGACAGGCTTCATTCAGGTCTTTATATTTCCGCCTGATGATTCAAGGGATGAGTAGAAGTTGAGTTTGTGCCAAGTGTCAACCACACCCTCCCATGAGTAATTAGAGGTTAATAAAGCTAAAATTGTCTAGTTGTTCTTACGTTAATATGTGTAGGTTTTTCACATTGTCAAATATGTAGAGTTCAGATTGCATAGACGTTTATATAGTGTGTGTTTAGAAGTGTAACATTTTACATAGATTATATGCTTACTGATATTAAAATGTTTAAAAGTTATTCCAGTATTACTGATGTACGTACTATCACACAATACTGACTAATACCCCCCACCCTCCCTCAGGCATCAAGCATGATGGAACCATGTGTGACACTTGCCGTCAACAGCCCATCATTGGTATTCGCTGGAAATGTGCTGAGTGCACCAATTACGACCTCTGCACAACCTGTTACCATGGAGACAAGCATCACCTGAGACATCGGTTCTACAGGATCACCACCCCGGGCAGTGAGAGGTTAGTTAACCCAGGAAGATCTACATTGTAGCCAATGTTAAAAAAATACACACTGTAGCCAGGTAATCCCTGCACTTTATTGTGGTTGGTTGGTCTACCCGTTTATTACTTATGTTTTTTTTTTTATGTGTGTGTTCGACGTTTGAGCAGTCTTTCGTGCGCCCGCCTCACAGGCAGACAGACTGTCTATATGCTCCCAGCCCTCAGTTGCCAGGCAACAACTCAGTCTTGTTTTAAGATGCAGTCGGGCCTTTTTTAAAAAAATTTAAAGCAGTGCTTCTTATTACAGAATTTATTTGAGCAGATTTGTTTTTATATATATATCTTTAGAAGGCTGCATGCTTATGAAACACAAAGTGCAAGTCTGTTTTTTAGTACTTTGACTCTGCACAAAACATTGTGATTGCATATGATTAACAGAGACAATGAACAGTTTTCACTACATTACTATGCAAGATGACTTCTTGTTGAATATAAACAGCTTATAAATATGTAATAACTGTCCCAGAAGTTGCTAATTATATAATGATGATGACAAAAAATAATAATAGACATGTACAGCTTAGTGTTTTCACTTTAGTCAGGCACAGCAGAGTGCTACAGCAATCCCTTGTGCTTAATATTGCTTTATTTATCACTCAAATCTATCTGTCACTCAAATGGCATTGTCACAGCAGGAGCCCCATTGTTTTGTCTTTTGTTCTTTATTTGCTGCTGGGAGCTCATGTTGATGTGTAAAACTACCATTTAAATGAGCTCAGCACTTCTTATGGTAAAAAAAAGTACAGAAAGCTTGTAGTGGAAACAGTGTTTAAGGAGTGGTGTGTGGAAAGTGGAAACATTGTTGCCAATTCATGTACAGACAAGATCAAGTCAAATTGTTGAAGGCAGCTTTACTCTGTGTGTCTAAAGATGCTCTACAAAGAGATTAAGGTAGGTCCTGTGTTGTAGGAAACAAAAGCAATCACATCAATCACTGATTTGATTTAAAGACTTTAAATGTATTATTTGGATCAGTGAGTGAGTATGCACACTCACAAATTCCAAAACCT